GACGAAACGGCCGTCCAGTGCTTCCAGGTTTTCCATGGTGGTCTAGCTTCAACTTACTCATGATCTTAACCATTGAAATTACTAGAATCTCCACAAAACCCCTTCTGACATTGTAGATCGTCGTAAACAAAATGACTAAATGCTGTAATGTTCACTCTTAGATTGGATTTCTACATTTACTGAACTAACTTACAACAACATAATTACAGCAGTTTAATGAGTAGAAATCGGAATTTCGGAGTTGGTGTAGGTTACCCGTCATAGAAAAAATAACCTTATTTAAATGAACTCAAGTTCAACTTGAGTCAAAAATTGAGTTAAATGGTATATCCAATACTGCATTTGGAAATGCCAATTCACATCATGATATTGATACTTACATCTTAATAACCGTTTTCTTAATATCATAAAGTTTAAGATCACGAGATTACGCCTCAACTACCATCATATTCGGACAAATACTAACCGGGATTTAGTTATAGCACTATCACTTCATCAGACATGGGCTAGCTGCTTGGATACAGTACTCTAAATATGGTATCACATAAGTTGGATATAAAATTCGAAACATTTCTTCGTCAAAGCATTTGTATGCTCCGCGAATTAACCATAAAGCACGAAAACATTTGACAGCAGGTGTGTGTGACTGTTAACCTTTTGACTGTTTGCTTGGGAGGATTTCTGGAATCCCTGCAGATAGATATTTGATCCCGTTTGTTGGGAATATATTTGTTGATTCTCAGGTATCAAATCCTTTGGTATTCACTGTTTCTTTTATCGTTTGGCACACTACTTTGCGTTAGAGAAACTTCTGACTATATAGCATAGGCTGTACCGTCTGAGGTATTTTGAAATTTTGATAGAATTTGTTCTATTTCTTAAATTAGAACCGTATAAATTGAGCACAGAGTTTGTGTTTTGATATAATTTAATACGAGTGTCTCAGAATTGCTTGGCGAGCTTTACAGAAGATCATAGTCTGACCTATTCGAACACGTTTTGATGGTCAGTCCTGCGTTCAAGCGAATACTGGTAGTTCGGTCGCTATGTGGTGTGTGCCACTTATGTGGACTGAACAGAATATCTGTCAGCAGAGAGACGAGAAGATCGAACAATAAAGAATGAAGAAAGAATGCAATTTGTATAAAAATGCAAGAACAAAGAGATTCTGAGTTATTTGAGACAATTGATGAACAATCTGCGAATTAACGGTTCAATATACGGTTGTTGGATTTTACTAACAAGTTCTGTAATTTGTTGTTAAATACATTCGGTAGTCCCCACTTGTGTTCTTGTTTACTACAGTTACAGTAACTGTTACCGTGTCCGATATGTATTAGCACACTCTTCCTAGAATTAGCTTCTATTCCCAAACCATGAGCCCATCTAACTAATTCGTCCAAGTCAGCTTAGAGATCAAAATGTTCAGCCTCATTTCTTATTGTTCTCCAGATTTTGACATCATCCGCAATAATAATGTCGACGACCTAGGCAACAGCGGTAACTCATTTACGTAGAGAAGGAAGAGCAGAGGGCCTAAGATAATGCTTTGGGGTGCACCACGTTTGATCGGCTTCCATTCGGATAACATTCCATTGACACTTACTCTCTGTCCGCGGCCACATAAATATTTACCTATCCATTCCTGTACACCATCCATTATTCCGAAGCTCAAGAGCGTCTGTATAAGACCTAAGTGTGAAACCTTGTCAAATGCTTTGCTAAAATCTATGAATATTACATCGGCAGGCACACCGTTACTTATAACTGCTGTCCAATCCTCTCTCGCAATAAGTAAGTTAGTCAAGCATGAACGCTTGTTACGAAACCTAAATTCCTCGGGAGTTAACAGATTATGTGAACCTATGTGACCTAGTAACTTAACCCGAATTATCTTGTCAAGTAACTTAACGACTATGCCAGTTAGACTGCCTGGTCGGTAGTTAAATACACTCTGCCTCTGACCATCGTTAAATATAGGACTGACTATAGCGTCGTTCCAATCTTTAGGGATTTAGGCGAGTAAACAGAACATGTTGAAGAGCGTTACACGTGGTCTTGAAATAATGTTCGCAAGAGACGACAGCGGTCGAGTATATAACCCGTCAGGGCCCGGTATCTTAAATGGTTTGAGGTTAGTGATCGATAGAAGAACAGTTTCCTCAGTCACCTGTACAGATTCAATGGCTGGTATCTCGGTATGGTTGGGACAAGTATTTATCACAATAAACGTAGAGTAGAGTTCGCTAAAATAGTTTGAAAAAGTCCGATCCGATTCAGCTAGTAAATCTGAATTATCGTGTAACAATAACGGGGGAATAACATCACTACGTTTCATTCGCCGTTCAACATATGAAAACAATCGTTTCGAACCTGTACGGCTATCATATACCAACTTTCGTTCGTAAGTAGTACGGGATTCAGCTATGGTTTTCCTACAAATATTCCGGAGTTTTTGGTACTCACCCTTAAATGATGCATGACCTGTCAACAAGAATAAGTCCCAGAAGTGTTTATGAGGGCAAGGTCGAGCAGTGACGGATCATGTTTCAAATCAATATGTGCCGGTTTTGCGATACATTGTACAAGTGCACACTGAATAATGGTTGATAAAAGGTTGCTATCGAACCCCTCACCTTGATCTGTAAGCTCTACCCAGTTGACGTGCGATGCGTTGAAGTCTCCAATGATGAGACAACATTCTGCCTTACTCCAAGAACAGATGAGTCTAAAGATAAAGTCACCATTAAGACAAAACGGACTACTTTATATTCTTTCTATAATCACTAACTAGTTTCTAGACTTAATTGTGCAACATGCTACCTCACATGTATCACAAACATGGGCGTCGATATGATTGTATACAAAAGTGATCCCGAATGCATAACATTATGCCTCCCCCTTTACGACTTAAAACTCTATCACTTCTAATACAGATATAGCCTGCAATGATGGGAGAACATTATACATCTACGGTGAACCAAGTGTCTGTAATGACAATGATATCGGGACTTAATTTATCCACCATCAGACTTAGCTCGGACGTTTTATTTCTAAGACTACGGGCGTTCGCGTAGCACACACTTAAGGTGTTTTGGTAATCATTCGTTCTACCCATACAGGCCTCAGAAGCACTGGCTTCCAAGACCTGACTACCCGAAAACCCTTAATGGTAAGGTTAGTTTCGCGATTTAACTTGCGAGTTCTCAACTTCGTGAGAGCATTCTTCCACTTGAATCGATCCTCAAGCGGCCAATCTGGTCGGATACGAATATTTGAATCACGAATTTTTTGTGCGTTTTTCAATAATATGTCTCGTTCTTCAAAACTCCCTAGAACCAGCTTCAAGATCCTTCTTGGTTGGGTCTCGCCTCCAACCCATATACCGAGTCGTATCACTTTCGTGATATGTACTCCTGAAACCTCGTCAGGTAGTACGTTTCTTACCACGGATTCTACTAACTTCAGATCATGTGCATGTCTCTTAGCAGGATCGTTGTCTATCGACTCCTCTAGATTCCGAATAATTAAGCTAGGGAGTGGTTTAGTTTCTTTAGGAATCGTGTTAACGGCTATCGATCGTGACCTAACATCCTGTATATTAACTACTGGTATCTTACGATTAGTTTTTATTGTAACAGAGTCATTGGAGTCGAGAGAGTGACTCACAACAATGTTTGACGAGGCTTTACTTTGGGACTTTGGCGGAGTGGTCTGAGAGTCCACCAAAGACTTATCAAGTAAACAGTCCTTACTTTTAGCTGTTTTTCCTACTCTTCTGCGTTTACACTTCATCCATATTCCGTCAGCCGTAGCATCTACATTGGAACTGCTCGGGACAATAATTGTTTTATCTGGATCACCAGTTGCTGCTGTAGCAACATGGCCACCAATATCTAAAGGGGTGTCACTCATTGGCTGTTTCGGGGTAGAAATTTTAATTTCGGGTTGAACAGTTAGATGTCTGACTTGCGCCGTGACAGCACTTACGGCACTAACGCAATCTTCGCCATCAGTACCAATGTTGCTAGTGCAGCCGTCACTAACCTTCTTATTAGCCAACACCAGGAGGCTAATTGCTCCCTGGATGAGTAATGTTTTGCTCGAGCAACAAAAACTACACAGCCAATGAGAGTTGGGCTTCGAGCACCTTTTATATGGAACGGGGCTTAGTCGGGTGCACATCTTGTGGAACCACTTATTACACTCGTCACATTGCAATATGGTTATCCACATTTATGAGCAGATTTGGCCATCTTGAAAATCAAGTACCATGGTGATACAAACAAGATAAGTAAAAGCATTCTAAAACCTTGACTAAATTATTCAAGTAAAAGTCGACCAAGTATGATCCGATGCAATAAATACACAAAAGTAAAATCGAAACTATTAACTTGGGTAAAACTGAAAAAGATAAGTAATCTACCAAATGTTAAGCTCAAGACAGATTCTTTGGACAAACGATGTTACTTTTATTGAGTAAGGACACAGCAAATGCAAATAACGTTAGAGCTTAAACTGAAGAACGTAGTATTAGTGTTTACTTGGAAGCAAGAGCGATCTGAAACAACAACACAACAGCCATGACTGATAAATGCCTCTGAAGTAAGAACGCAGAGTGCTAACACAACAGAGATATATTTGAAATTGAAAGACGCGGTCATATTACAAAAGCGTAAAACTTATTATAAAATAATTTTATCGATCGTTCTGCAGGTTCAGTTTACGTAGAGCTTGTTTCCCTACTTCTCGTACGTTTACTCTTTTTTGCCCTGCAATAAGAAAAATAGACTTGTGTTCGTAATGTTACATGTAATGGTTTTTGCTACTGTTACAAACTTTTTTCTCGTAAAGCGCGCTGATTCACCTTAGGACTGAATGGTGACATTTTCATATGAATCATTTGAGAGAAGAAAAAACCCCCAATGAAGATTGAAGAAAGGTAAAGCAATCGGCCTTCTGTTATCAATGCGCTAACCTGACGTTAACTAACTGCCATCATCGGACTATCCGAAGGTCACGCTCACAATTTAAAAATGGCCTTCAATGGCTTTATAGAGATTTTCGTTAAGCAAAAGGTATTGTTTTGTTAGTGATGGTAATTGTTTTCAAAGACTTTTCGTCCGAAGAAAAAGTTTGCACCAGATACAATTCGTTATCACCTCCACAAGCGTGCTGAAGCCTCACTAAGTTCAGGGATCGACCTCAGGGAAGCGGTTAAAAAGCCAGATGACGAAGAACTGAATGATTGGATTGCGGTTCATGGTGAATTGAAATATAGATTGTCATTTTCCCAGTTGTTGATTTTTACAATCGCATCAACCTCATTTATGGGACTATATGTGATAGATGCACTGAGCAGACATGCCCGACTATGTCTGGAGGCAAAAAGTTTGAATACCATTGGCGCGATAATATACATTATAAAAAGCCTACTCCACTACCAGCACCCAAATATATTGATGAGTTGATGGACTGGGTTGATGCACAAATAAATGATCCATCACTTTTCCCAACTGACATAGGTAGTGTATTCCATATACCACGTAAATATATAGATATCCCTTTCCCAAAATGCTATATTTCAACTGTGAAGAAAATATTTGGTAGGCTGTTCAGAGTGTTTGTGCATGTTTATATTCACCACTTCGATTGTTTGCATGAGATAGGAGCGGTATGTAGTTTTTCTTTTAATCATAATATTTAGGAGGCTCATGTCAACACTTGCTACAAGCACTTCTACTATTTCGTAACTTATTTCGATCTTATTGATAAAAAGGAACTAGAGCCTCTGGTTAGTTTTTTTTGTTTGCATTAATTTATATGTTTTGTTTTTAACTACACTCAGTTGAAAGTGGTAAACTTAAATGTTAACTTCCGTTTGGTGGAAGCAATGTATTAATATGTACACAATGGCTTTTTAAATAGACTAGACCATATCACGTGAGGATATACAATATACCCAGTCACCCAAATGCCCTGGTACGGCCGAGGGTGGGGAGAGTCCGCTCTCCCTCTCGAAATGCTCTCATATGGCCACGCGTACATAGCCCCTGCCAGGGAAGTCCTACTCACTGCCTTCACGTGGCGGAGGTGTTGTTTACGAAAATGAGAGGACGAAAAGCGAATGTCCGGCGCTTTAACCGGACCCCAAACCAATGGTGCACATGGACTCCAGTATCCTGAACGAACAAATGGCGTATGAACCAATCGTTGGTCACCGGCTACCATTGGACTGCATTTCCTCACGATGCTCCACTGCCTTGTGGATCAGACGTTCAGGTCAAAGGCTCGGGGTGTGGCCCCCTAAGAAAACCACCTGCTTCGGTTTGGGCACCCGGGCAGTATCACAGCCCTCACACAAATCAATTGAGATTCGTGTGGCGCATATGTATTTGGTGCCTCCTTGTACCAATATCTATGTGTTAAAATAAATAAAAAATAAATAATAAATCGTAACGATTCTTAATAGTTTATGCATGGGATTTGACACTGTGAAGCGTTTGCTGTATGCATATGAATCAAGATTCTTACCATATAGTGCCTTAATCCTTGATATATTTTACATTTCAATGCTTTAAATAAAGGCAAGACAGTCGGAAAATATTGTCCACTATTTTACAAATGCGTAATGTCTACCAACTAGTAGAAGTAAATATTTGTACTTCTTGGATGATGTTTGTCTGCTAACCTCTATAAAGCAAAAGCGGAAGATAGTGTTTCTTATTCTCTTCAAAATAAGTGTGACTTCTGTTTTCAAATATCAATCCGAGCTAAATTTAGTTATGCACAAGCAACGCAGAATCTAGGCTAGAGTATATAATATGGTTCAAGATCCATTTATGCCAGAGCATATATATATATATATATATATATATATATTAGTGAGAGAATACTCTCCGTTCGTAACCAAAACGCTTTATTATTATTTCGGTTATTGAGTCGTCATCAAGAGCATTTTATAAATGTGATAAATAGTTGCCAAAAAACAAATCGTTTTATAAATGCTGTTGGTTGTACATAAAGTGTTCATTTTAAGCCTATGTCTGTTAGAAAATAAATCACTTATTCTGAATGCTTTTTAATATATTTAAGCTTTGGTAGCTTCATTCAGTTTTATACATTTGTAGAATGATTTAACCCGCAGAATCTGTCACTAAAAGGATCATATAAATAAATTGTTCGCAAATTTTCTAAATCAACATCTGAATGACCGAGCTGTTACGAAAAGCGAAAACAGTGTCATCGACCTCTGTACTTTTCTGTGCCTGAGTTTTGTTTCTTGATGTTTCGCTGCTCTTTTTTTTCGCATAAAGGAAGCTGAGTTTTTTCACATGCAAAACATATTTTAATGATATTTTCCTTCTCTGCTTCTGTTCTTAAAATAAGAAACTGTGCATTTCTCATTCATCCTTACCATTATTCAATCGGCATCCAAAAATAATATTTTCCTTTATTTAGATTTACTATGTATGTCTATTTTTCTTACTTTCTATGTATCTGTTAAGTTCACTTAACAAGTGTATTCACTATTTTCGTACGACAAATCTTTATTAAACACTTGATTTTTAAAAAATCTACTATAAATTATTCTCACCACTACTACTGACTATATTACATAACTTTGATGTTTATTTTGCGCGATTAATTGCTTCTATCCTAACTGAAAATGTTATTTCTTGATTTTAGAAAAAATGTAACGTTTAATATTTTCCTTCTTATTTTCACTTTAAACGAATGAAAAGCCAAAAATTTGGTTGTATATACAAAGACGTTTGAATGATGTTAATTCAATCCATGTAAAAATGGTTTTTATAAATGCTTATTCTAAATCATCTTAATTGAGTAGCAATTCTACAAAATTAGAAGCTTTCGTTGGTCATCTCGGACTCTTTCAACCATAGGTTCACATACTTAGTCATTTGTATCTCAAAGCTTAGCATATAGACCTATGATTGTCGATTGCATTAGCCTTTTTCTTGAAAATTCCTATCTTCGTGTGTAGTGAATGCGTTTCGCTCTTTTTTGAAATAAGTTACCTTGTAATTTAAACCTTTTTCGATCTATAGAATTCCAGTAACTAATGCGTTCAGATTCTATTTGGGCAAAAATACCTTGGTGAGTCGAGCTTCAGGGTCAAATTAATCCGTAATATTTCACCACAAGTCTTTGATAAAATGGACTCATTTACTTGCAATGCAACTCATATTTCACCTACTCTGATGGAGACACACCACGGTTTCTAGAAGTTATTTGTTATCAAGATCAATAGGAAGTATTAGATGTATTTTGAATCCTAGATATTACAGTCTGTTCATTTACCATTTCAATAGAATAAATGTGGTTTTATTCACTTCGGTCTTACCAGATAATTTTTAGTGAGACTTCTTCGAGATAATCTTTATGCTTCGTTTATCATTCGTTCAGATAACCGTTATGACTCCCAACGGTGTATAACTTTCAGAAGAGATTATTAACCTATGACTACTGTTTATTATTGGGCAGCATAGACCCATTAACCACACGGAGCGAATACGAACAAGAATGCGACTTCATGATTAGGATTTAAGAAGTACATATACATCAGCAAGCAAATGATTCATCCAGCGACTTCATTAATCAATATTTAAGCTAGTAAGAGAAATATATGTGCAGTAACACGTGATCAAAGCTTATGCGATCATAAAGTGTGGGGATAATAGTGTAAAGATATACAGAAATTTTCACCAACAAAAATGACAGTATCCGTTGAATAAGTTAATTAAAGGCCTCAATAAATTCAAACATGTACAAACATAAGTGTTGATGAAGACTATAATTGTAATAGAACATTGTTCAAAATGCCACAAATATTCTCTTTTATTACATGTTAAGGCTGGATTCAATATCTGGTCATCTGATACCCATGTTCATTTCGCTCTTTTGTTTTGATTATCCATAGCAGAGTAATTTAGTGGATAACAGTAATTTACGATATGACCAGTTTTTGTAGATACCATGTGAAATTTCTTAAGTTGACCACATTATTGTATTCACGAAGTACTTTGCTGCTTGCAATTAATAAAAAGTCTATCATGGGGACATAAAGTTTGCTTATATTACCTTTGCTTCAAGCGGATTAACTGTTGTGCAATGCTAAACATCAGCCGTCATAATCGATCGTTCTTAAGACTTTATAAAAATTCATCACCTTATCATTTACATTTTCCATAAGTAGATAGTTCATTTAGATTGTGTGGCGCATATATATTTCGTGTCACTTTATACCAATATTTATGTGTTCAAATAAATCATTTAGATTGTGATTTGTAGTCTCCTTCATATCTACCCGTTACCCAGTGAGCATACAGTAAAATATTTCCCCATGGCTTTGTAGTATAGCATATAAAATACAATGTGTGGGTAGTTTTCAAGTATATGATAATCGATGTCTTTGACGCACTGTTCTATCACATACTCTAGTACAAAGTGCTAGCTAGCACAGGGATAAGTTAGAACGAAAGTAACGTTTGGCGACAGAGTCAAAAGACATTGGTGGGTTCACAATCCAAGGTATTTATCTTCAATAACATTATAATCTGTGATTGAAGATGTTAGGCAACATGGGCTAAGGCTTGTCGAAGTTCTGCTCTTTTATGCTTGAGTTTTATGTCATCCCATACTTTTCACAGCTTGACTCCACCTTATCGAACTGCATCTTAATGTTTCTTTTTCTACTGCATCTAAAGTTGTTTTCCTTCTGCCTCTCGTTTTGTTAAGCTCTTTCCTGCTCGTGGAAGTGTCAGGTGTGGTAAATTCGACAGTTTCACTTCCATGCCATGTCTTACGTTACCTATGACTGCTTTATTGAGTTATGTTGATATCTCATTATTTCTTTCCCTTTTGTGTTAATTTTAGATGGACGTCTGTTTAAAGATCAATGGTGTGCAAATGTTTTTATCTTGTTTGTCAATATATCATTTTAACAAAGAACTGAATTTGAAACGATCAGTTCTAGTGACTAAAAAACGCCAGTGTAACATCACACTAACGATATATCTCTATACCAGTTGATTAATTTTATTATTATCTAGTTTTTCTAGGGTATTCACAACACAGCATTTGGATATGTGTCAACCCAGACAACAGCGTTTCCAAATTTCGACTTCTGGTGATATATATATATATATATATATATATATATATATATATATATCAGGTAATTCAGCTCACTATTCGTCAAAAATATTATTGTTCATTTGAAAGTTGACTCGGTCAGTCAGCTGCAACGTAGGACGAGGCACATATATGCATCGGTTCAAGTTGCCATACCGCATTAGCACAGCAACATGAACACCGGATTCATAGAAGTAGTTAATTCAATGGTGGTAATATATAAAAAAGATTGCATATAAAGATATAGTACAGGTAGAAAGAATTAGTTCGTAGAAAGAAAGATATGAAGTGATTTTAATCTCTTAGTTTAAAGGAAGGCAACGAGTGTATACACCGACTCCATTGTGATCGATTCTGAGCCATGTCACCAAGAGTCTCCAACCATTGGTTACGATAGTCGCGCTGACCCCAACCTAGTAGTCTGCATCTACCTGCATGGCTCAGACCAGAAATTAGTGGCTTTATGGACTGATGCCACGTTTCTGTTTGGACGCCCCTAACTTTCTTCCATACATCTCCAACACTAGTCAGCATTGCGCGCCATGATAATCGGAGAGCAGGCATACGTAACACGTAGCCTAACAATATCAGTCGATGAAGATTAACAACCTCATCAATTGATTAACCATCATTTCCTAATACTCTGGGTCTAACCTCACTAATACTTACCTGATGATCCCAATAGATGTGAGCAATATTCCTACGACATGTGTCATCAAATACTTGTAACCTCCAACTTTGATTGCCACGTTTGGCAGACGCAAAGTAGAACAGAACGAACTGCTGCACAGTATACTCGTCTCTTAGTTGATAGACGGATATCTCACCTTCGCCGTAGGTGACGTAAGTTGACAAAATCCAAACGAGCTTTTCAAATCCGTGCTGAGATTTCGTCAAACACCAACCCATTAGGGTTGATCAGAATCCCATGATAAGTGAAGTTGTCAACGCGTTCGACTATTTCACTCCCTATCCTTAGTTCAGGCGTTGATGCAGACCAGTCCTGAAGCAACAACTTGCATTTAGAGGGAGAGAAGCGCATCTCAAACATTCTGTCATTGTTGCTCAGTGTGCTACCAAAAGACTCTGCATTTCATCAGCGTCTTCACCAAACAGGACTATGTCATCTGCGTATTCTAAGTCAATATGTGGACCTCCTGGTAGGAGATCAATACCCGAGAATTCGGTCGACCAGAACGTTTTTTCCTGCAGTAGGTCTATGATGAAGTTAAACAGAAACGGGGATAGCGGACAGTCTTGCTGGACACCACTTGAGGTTTCGAGGTCAGATGACAGTTTGCCATAAGCTCTGACTCGACTAGTAGTGTTCGAGTAAAGAGCCCTCAAATGTTTATGTACTTCTGAGGTACACCTTTCAATGACAGAATCTCGTGGTCTACGGAGTCGAATGCTAGTTTTATTTCAAGAAAGACCACCATTGTCGCACGCCGATAAGTATGCTGTGTTCTAGAACCTGACGAATGGTGAATATGTGGTCGGCGCATCCACGACCAGGTCTAAAGCCAGCTTGATTCTCTCGTGTTTGCAGTTCACGAGTCTGAGTTAGGCGTCCGAAAATTATCGAAACTAGTATTTTAGATATTATATTAGTTAAACTGATGCCTCTCTGGTTGCCACAGGATGATTTTGACCCTTTCTTAAATATTGGGACGATAAGTGATTGTGACCAGTTAGATGGAATAACGTCTAACTCCTAGATTTTAGCTAAAATGTTAGTCAACCTAGTCGCTAAAATTGGGCCACCATCCTTAAAGACGTCTGGAGCCAATCCATCTGGACCAGCTGCCTTTCCTGGCTTTAGATTAACTATAGCCTTTTGAACTTTAGCTAGAGTTGGAGGACCTATTTCAATGTTCCATTTACACTGTCTGGGAGTGGAGGATAGTTGTAGAGTAGCCGAAGGCCAGGCGAACTGTTCTCTAAAATGTTCCGCACACCGATCTAAACGTCAGGACTGGGAGCAGATGAGGATGTCGTCTTTTTCCGAGAATTTTTACTTACACTTGACTTATTGATTCCAGTTTCTTTTATTCGTTTGTAGATCTGTCTTGTGTTCCCTATAGCCGCCGCCTTTTCTATCTCTTTTGCTTTTGTTGCCCACCACTGCTCGCGGTCGTTCCTTAAACTTTTGCTTAACTTAGATCTGATTTGTTTACGCTCTTCATCGTGTTCAGAGCCTGATGGGATGAGTTTACGAGAATCCATCAGTGCAATAGACCTTGAAGAAATCCATTGTTTCTTTGTAACCCTGTGGTTTAAATCACTAATAGATGTCACTGCTGTTTCCACAGCTGTTCGTATATCTTTCCAAGCAACATCTGGGTCAGCCTCGTTTTCAGAACTAACTAAGTGTGACCTCAGTTGTTCCTCGAACCTACTTTTGCTTTTCTCGTTACACGATTCAGTTCTAATTGATCTTTTTAGTGTGGCTTTTTTGCGTCCAGTGAGGCGCAAGCAGATGCGTGCTCCTATTAGGGCATGGTGGAAGTTCAAACAGGTATTCTAGAACGAGCGACATTCTTCTACCGAGCCTCTCCAAAGATGACTGATGGCAATATGATCTATTTGAGTCCATCGTTGATTTGGTGCAGGGGGTCGCCATGTTAGACGATGTCTCTCCTTAAGCTTAAAGTTAGTGTCTACTAAAAATAAACGATTGTCTGAGCACTGTTGCAGCAGACGATCACCTGTGGTGTTTGAATGAACTAATGATTGCTTTGTACTTGTTGAATGTTTGATTTCGAATTCTAAATACAGTACATTGGTTAGTGCTTGTGTAGTACTTCTTGATTCAATTGCGTTATCCCTGGGATTCTTAGTTCATACTATAATTCGATTACTCCTAATTATCATATTGGCGTCGCGAGCAGGATCCTGCGATGGAACATTTAGATATTCATTCAACTTCTGAAGCTTTTGAGGACTATTTGGAAAGGTTTGAAATCTGGAGCATGACCAAGAAAGTTGATGAGGATATTAATATTGTGGCAAATTTTCTCATATTCATTGGAAAAGAAGCATATGGCTTATTAAAAATTTTGACTTCACCGGAAAAGCCCATTTCTCTTCCTTATACAACTCTCAAGGAACTACTTCTAGACTATGCAAAGTATACAAATTTCGAATGCGGTAAAGGGAGATTTCGTGGAATAATTTATGAGGATATGAAAAATTCCACTAAATTACGTCACCCCATCCCAGTGCATACTCAAGGTTGTGCAGTTCACGAAGATGGGCACAAGTTTAGTCAATGTTTTTCTTGTGGCGAAATCCACCCTTTTAATTCATGTAAATATCGTAATTGTAAGTTCTTTAAATGTCTTAATGTCGGACATATTCAGTCAGTTTGTAATACTACTGTTCATCTTGCTGCAACTAATATTAAGTCTTGTGATTCTGATTCTATTAATTTGAATACTTATAATGATCGTTTATTTTTATCGACGATTTCAAAAGACAGTTAAGAGTCATATAGCGGTT